TGTGTTAGTATGTGCTGAGAGGAAAAATAAAACAGTGGTATAGGATGTGGAATGTGAGTAGAGGTTTGCAGTTTAAATAAGGATTTCCTCTCTGAGAGTGAAAACCTGAAGATTTAAAAGAAGAAATCACATAGGGCCAGCAAATTCAAATGGCTGAGGCAAAGTGTTACCAAGGACCAACAGCTCAGGAAAAGGTAATGATGTAATTTAAAATGAGTGGGAAGTGGTTTTAAGTGAGTTACTTTGGAGTTGTCCTGGAGGAGGGTTTTGTGGAAGGTCAGATAGTGCTGCTCCTGGTAAGTCATTATTAAAACACAGGCTTTTACTCTGAGCAAGTTTACTGAAGACGTGTGGATATGGAAGCAATTGGTTTATCACATCTTAACAGTATCCCTTTGGTTTATTTGTTTAAAGTAGAAGGAAGTGGGTCAACATTGGAAGCAGGGAGGGAATTAGACTACTACCGTAACCCAGGTGACAGACTATGGTTTCTAGCTGGGTCATAGTAGTGAAGGTAGTGAAAATCATAGTTTTATGTACTCTGAAGATTAATGTAATCATTTTTGAAGAGTTACTGGTGAGAAGAGAGTCAAGGAAAACCACCACTGTTTGGAGCCAGCACTGAGGTGTAGCAGGAGAAGCTGCCGCCTGCAGTCCTGGTATCCCATATGGGTGCTGGTTCGAGTCCTGGCTGTTCCCCTCCTGATCCAGCTCTCTGCTATGGCCTGGGAAAGCAGTAGAAGATGGCCCAAGTCCTTGGGCCCCTGCAACCATGTGGGAGATCTGGAAGAAGCTCCTGGCTCCTGGCTTTGGATCCTCCCAGCTCCAGCCATTGCGGTCATCTTGGGAGTGAACCAGTGGATGGAAGACCTCTCTCTGTGTCTCTGCCTCTGCCTCTCTGTAACTATACCTCTCAAATAAATAAATAAATCTTTTTTTTTTCAACTCCCAACTTGACTCTCACTGGGATTAAACATGACAATAGGTCTGATCTGATTTCATCATCATTTAAAAAAAATCATCTATTATTTTTCACTTTATGTTTCTGTGTGGGAGCAAACTGTTGAAATCCTTACTTAATGTATACTAAGCTGATCTTCTGTATATTAAGATAATCGAAAATGAATCTTGATGTGAATGGAAGGGGAGAGGGAGTGGGAAAGGGGAGGGTTGTGGGTGGGAGGGACGGTATGGGGGGGAAGCCATTGTAATCCATAAATCGTACTTTGGAAATTTATATTCATTAAATAAAAGTTAAAAAAAAATAAATAAATCTTAAAAAAAACCAAAACTACCACTTTCTTCATGACCTGATCAACTAGCAAATGATATCACTTACTAAGATATGAAGGAGTTTGGAATAGATGTTGGGGAGATCAGAAATGCAGTTATATTGGAGTTTAGTGTGCGGTTAGGTGCATCTCATATAGTAAATTGAGAAACTGAGGAGCTTTGCTCAATTTACTATGCTTTGAAGTTGGTTATGTTTGAAATAATCTGTACTTTTTGAAGACAGGGAGAACTTCCTTCTAGAATGTGTGCAGTGCTTATATAACTGGGGAATATTTAACAGCTGATTCTTTGTCTTTAATTGTTTTGGGACTATTTGGTCTAAGAAAATGGGTTAGGAAATGACAAGAAACAACTTAAATCTCAGGAATTTGAAGTAAAAAAGTTCTAAGCTATGGTTTGACTATAGTTTGGATGTCTCCCAGAGGATTGTGTGTTAAAAACTTTATCCCTAATGTCTTATGTTAGTGTTTAATGGATTAACATCATTAATGGGTTAAGGGAAAAACTTTATCCAGTCATGTTTAGGAAGTAGACCTAGTGCGATGTCCTAGGGTTACTGGGGTTGTGCCCTCCAAAGGTGGTTCTGAGAAGATTGTTTGTACAATCAGTGGGGCTTAACTATTTTCCTCTTGCTTTCTGGCTCACTATGTGCTCACAAACACTTAGTATTTCCTAATAATAGTTGTGGTCCAAAGAGTAGAAATTGTACTCCCCTGTACGCAAAAATAGAGGGAAAAAAGGAAATTGGTGCACACTAATGGTGTTACAACAGTAAAATGTTTTTCTGAGATGTTTCCAAGTTTACATAGATGGGGCCTTTTTTTGTTGTTGTGTTTTTGTTTGTTTGTTTGTTTGTTTTTTTTTTTTTTAGATTTACTCCTTTATTTAAAAGTCAGAGTTACACAGAGAGAGGAGAGGCATGAGAGAGGTCTTCAATCAGCTGGTTCACTCTCCAGTTGGCTACTATAGCTGGAGCTGTGTGGATATGAAGCCAGGAGCTTCCTCTAGGTCTTCTTGTGTGGGTTCAGGGGCCCAAGGACTTGGACCATCTTCTTCTACCTTCCCAGGCCATAGCGGAGAGCTGGATTAGAAGTGGAGTAGCCAGGACTTGAACCAGCGCTCATATAGGATGCTGGCATCGCAGGTGGCGGCTTTACACACTATGCCACAGCACCAGCCCCAAGAAGATGTCTTAACTAAGTTCATGGAATATGTGCATTATGAAAAAATTATCATGCATTCCATTTTTTCTACAAAAATAAATAATGTTGGGGCCAGTGTTGTTGTAAACCAGTCTTTCTGCCACCTGCAATACTGGCATCCTGTGTCAGTGCCTGTTAAAGTCCCATCTGCTTTGCTTTAAATTCAGCTCTGTGTTAATGTTCCTGGTATTGCAGTAGATGATGGCAAGTACTTGAGCTTTTGCCATCTATGTCGGAGATCCATATGGAGTTCTCTCCTGGCTTTGGCCTGGCCTAGCCCTGGCTATTGCAGCCATTTGGGAGAGAGAACCAGTGGGTGGACAGTCTTTTCTCTCCCCATCTCTCCCCCTCTCACTGTTGCTGTGCCTTTCAAATAAACATAAAACACATAAAAACAAAAGTATCTTTTAATTACATTTTCTATTAACTTTTTGAAGTATCCTTGTACATTTATAAAGATAGTGGCATATTGTTTGTGATATTTCATTAATACTATTTTAATTTCTGCCGTACCTATAGTTATGTAGTTACTAAAGAAAATAAGCATTTTTCTTTTTTTTCAACTCTACTCTTGAATGTGATTACACTTCATTGCATTATTCTTGAATGTAGCTACATGTGTTTGCATATGACTTCACATGCTCCTTTGTCATCTCTAATATGTTTTGTTTGTGATTTCTTTTAATCATGATAAAAAATTGGAAGAAGGCAGATTTTATTGTTTTTCTATTAAAAAGAAAACCATATCACCAGATAATTATGGAATAATTAGAGAAGAAGGAGATAATTTGCATGAATAGAAATATAAATTAAGGTCATGAGTAATGTTAATTACATTTCCTCACCTTCCACCCAGGCTATTGTTAATTTGTAAAGGTTTTTTTATATATTCAAATATGGAGCCAAAAACAACTAATCATGGGTTCTCCTAAATTTTGTCTCATTAAAAATAGCAGGAGTAATCATGTAGAGACTTAAGATAAGTCATGTAGAGGCATGATATTAAAATGGAATTGGAAATTAATTTAAAATAAATTTAATTAGTTAATATCAAGAAGGGCGGTAAAAACCCATATTTCTGCACAGTGGGCTGTCTATTGTAATTGCATTTCCAGCTAATTACATTTGATTTTTTTTTTTTTGCTTGGAATCATGTGTAGTCACATTCAAGTAATGGTAGAGGTGAGTAAAAAGAAAAATGCTAACTATAATTGAAATATGGATATGTTTTATCAACCCTGCTTCTATCCAATTATTTTATTTTTATTTGAGAGTGAGAGAGTAAAAGAGTGAGAGAGCAAGAGAGTGAGAGAGAAAGAGAGAACCTCCCGTTTACTGATTCATTTCCCAAATGCCTTCAACACACAGTGCAGGGCTAAGCCAGTATCAGGAGCCTAGAACTCAGTCCAGGTCTCCCACATTGGTGGTAGGAATCCAACTACTTAAGCCATCACTGTTGCCTTCCATCATGTGTGTTAGCAGAAGTTCAGAATTGGAAGTATAACTGAGACTCAAAACCAGGCATTACAATATGGCATGTGGACATTGCATGCAGTTTTTGTTTCTCAAGTACTTAGGTTAAAGACTTTGATTGATCAGATATATGAAAGATATAGGAGGCTAAATCTTTCAAGTTCCATGACAAGAACTAGGGTCTTCTGGTATAAAGAAAATATTGAAATGAATTGATCAGAATGTTTTATGTAACCGCCTTAAGATTATTTTGTAAAAATAAAATCCAAGTCCCATATGACACTAGAGTTTTGTTTTTTAATATTTATGATAGTGAAATAAGCCCATCCAAGAAAGAAAAATATCATATATTTTCTCTTATATGTGGTTGTTAATAAGAATGCAAAAAATGTTTAGGATGTCTTGTGATTTGATTGTTGTTTGTAGCACTTTTTGTATTCTTATGTAACTGTGATACTTGTTGAATATTATGGTTAGTGGAGGTTTTGTGATTATAGGGGATTGAAATTATGTTTTTTGCAAAAATTAAAGAAATGAAAGAATAAATAAGATTGAAGGAAGCAGAGAGGGAGGGAGGGAAGTATTTCTTTTTTTGAGATTTAAAATTATTTCTTAGAATCAAGGACCTCCAGCCAGAGTGGTGTGGAAGGGGGCTTCCAAGAGAGGAAATCCCAAAGGAACTGGTGGCAGTTGGCTTTAAGTACAAGTTTTAAGAGAAAAAGCTTGACATTCAGATTGGCATTCAGTTATGAGGCAGGGACAAAAACCATCAAAAGACCTCATTTACATTTCTCCATCCTGTCTGGCCTGCTAAGGGTGGAATAGGTAACTTGTTTTCAGAATAAGCTGTGAGCTCAGAAAGAGCTCTTTTGCTATACTCATGGTAAATTTGGAGATTTCGAAGGAAGGAGGGAAGCCTGTTTGTTCTTGCTAAAGATAACGTTTTGGGGAAGGAAACAAATATTTTACACCCCAAATTCCATTAGGATCCCCTGACTATCTATTAACCCATCTGACTCCTCACATTCCTACCTCCAGAAATGGGAACCCTAGCATCTGTTAGGGGGAACTGGGCAATGATTGCTCTGGCTGCTTCATGCTGGAAAGGGGCATCTTTGGGAAGGGGTGGCTTCTCAGCAGGATGTGGCCTCTCCAGGGGGATGCAGTGCCAGCTTGCAGAAACTGCTTTCATAGGAGGTTTCATGTACACAGCCACCTAGAATTTTATTTTTTTAAGTCTGGAGAAAATGAGTCTAACAAGCAGTTTAAACTCACAGGATCTAAAGCCGAGGACAAAGTCATTATTAGAGGCCCTAAGAAAAGTGTCTAAACCATGAACAACCCTATTCCAACCCTATTGGAATATACCCAGTGGGATCTATGGAAGAACCTGCATTCTATTACCATATCTGCCAGTGCAAAATCTCCTGTATACCTTGTTGTTACCCTGTAAGACTAAGGCAGGGTTCAATTCATATCTTCTAGTCATGAGACTAGAGCTTTTGCTGTTATAAGCCACAGCAAAAGTTATACTTTCCCAGCAGGACTTTGGGAAAGGTCCATCTGCATCATACAATCCTAGAGCCACAGTTGCTGGTGCCACAAGCCCCAACATCAGTCAGGCTTGCCAGTGGGACAAGGGTACCCTGTGTCCCTCAGCACCAACAATGAGGACCTGGATATCAAAATCCCTAGTGTAACTGATGCCAAACTCTCTGGATACTGAAGATACACTCCTTAGGAAGCCCATATTCACCTCAAACTCATACTTCCACCTATACAAATTGCTGCAAACTAGGTCACTGTGTCACTTATAGATACAGCTCACAATATTTAAAACAAAAGAAACCATTTAGAGGTTGTGCTTCTGGGCTCACCTAGAACCAAAGCCAAAGAAAAACCAAGTGATACTCTACATCCCATCTACGCCATAAGTTCTTTTCCACTAAAACTTACTCCATGAAGAAGGAGCTTTTACAACAGATGCACAGACATCAATGTAGGGACACAGGAAACATGAAGAAGCAAGGTACCATGACACCTGCAAAATAACAAAATAATTCCCCAGAAATAGATTGTGATCTGAAGGAACTCTATGAAATGACAGAAACAGAATTCAAAATAATGATGTGAGGAAACTCAGTGTAATGCAAGAGAATACAGATAGCTTGGAGAAATGAGGAAATGAATATGTGACATGAATGGAACATTCACTAAAAACATAGAAATCATTAAGAATAACCAAATCAGGGCCAGCGCCGCAGCTCACTAGGCTAATCCTCTGCCTTGCGGCGCCGGCACACCGGGTTCTAGTCCCGGATGGGGCGCCGGATTCTATCCCGGTTGCCCCTTTTCCAGGCCAGCTCTCTGCTGTGGCCTGGGAGTGCAGTAGAGGATGGCCCAAGTGCTTGGGCCCTGCACCCCATGGGAGACCTGGATAAGTACCTGGCTCCTGCCATCGGATCAGCGCGGTGCGCCGGCCGCAGTGCACCGGCCGTGGCGGCCATTGGAGGGTAAACCAACGGTAAAGGAAGACCTTTCTCTCTGTCTCTCTCTCTCACTGTCCACTCTGCCTGTCCAAAAAAAAAAAAAAAGTTAAGGAGAAGGAAAAACTCCTAAAGACAGTGAGAAAAAAGAATCAAGTTACGTATATAGGAAAATCAATTAGACTAACAGCAGACTTCTCAGCAGAAACTATACAGGCCAGAAGAGAGTGGGAATGATCTGCTCAAGGTCTTAAAAGGAATAAAAACTTTCTAGGGCCGGTGCCATGGTTCAGTTGGTTAATCCTGTGTTGCTGGCATCCCATATGGGTGCTGGGTTCTAATCCCGGTTGCTCCTCCTCCAGTCCAGCTCTCCGCTGTGGCCCAGGAGGGCAGTGGAGGATGGCCCAAGTGCTTGGGCTCCTGCACCCTCATGGGTACCAGGAGGAAGCACCTGGCTACTGGCTTGGATCGGCATAGCTCTGGCCGTGGCGGCCATTTGGGGGGTGAACAAGTGGAAGGAACACCTTTCTCTCTATCTCTTTTGCTCACGTCTGTCAGTCAAATAAATACATTTGAAATAAAAATAAAAATAAAAAGCCTTCCAAACAAGAATATTATATCCAATGAAGCTGTCCTTTAAAAGTGAAGGTGAAATAAGCTAAAAAAAAACTAGCTAAAAAAAAAAAAAAACCTGAGAGAATTCACCATCAGACCAGCCTTATAAGAAATTCTGAAGGGAGTCCTACATTATACATAAATATCATGAAAACACAATGCTACTAAATTCACTAACAAAGCAACTATAATCAGTAGCCAGTCAACAAAATTACATATATTTTTATCTATCAATACTAACCTTGAATATACATGGATTAAATTCCAGTCAAAAGGTTTAGGTTGATTGAATGAATAAAAAACTCTATATGTTAGTTAGAAGAAACTCACTTCACAAATAAAGATATATGTGGACTAAACAGAATGGTTGAAAAAAGACACAGCAGGCAAATGGAAACCAAAAATGAGCAGGAGTAGCTTTACTCAGAAAAAACAGACTTTAAATCAAAAACTGAAAAAAGTTAGCACTTGAAAAAAAAAGTCAATCCAGTGAGAAATGGGAAAAGAACCCTGGTAGACAGTTCTGAAAGAAGAAATTCAAATGGCAGACAAATATATGAATAATATTCAACATCATTAGCCATCAGGGAGATGCAAATCAAAACCACAATAAGATATGACCCCACTTCTGTCAGAATTGTTATTATCCAAAAGATAGAAATTAACAAATTCTGGTTAGGATGTGATGAAAGGGAACACATATTATTAGTGGGAATGAAAATTATTGCAGCCACTGTGCAAAAGGGCATGGAGATTTCTTAAAAAAACTAGTGACAGACTTACCATATAGCCCAGCAATCCCACTACTAAGTACATACTCAAAAGGCATAAACACATTATATCAAAAAGCAACCTGAACTATCATGTTTTATTTATTTTTAAAGATTTATTTATTTTACTTGAAAGAGTTACACAGAGAGAGAAGGAGAGGTAGAGGTAGAGGTAGAGAGAGAGAGAGAGAGAGAGAGAGGTCTTCCATCCACTGGTTCATTCCCCTATTGGCCACAACAGCTGGAGCTGTGCCAATCCAAAGCCAGGAGCCAGGAGCCAGGAGCTTCTTCCAGGTCTCCCCTGTGGGTGCAGGGGCCCAAGGGCTTGGGCCATCTTCTATTTTTTTCCCACGCCATAGCAGAGAACTGGATAGGAAGTGGAGCAGCTGGGACTAGAACCGGCGCCCATATGGGATGCCAGCAGTGCAGATGGCAGCTTTACCTGCTATGCCACAGCGCCAGGCCCCAGAACTACAATGTTTATAACAGCACTGTTCTTAATACCCAAAATATGGAATCAGCCAAGATGTCCATCATCAGATAAATGGTTATAAAATGTGGTTCATTTATACAAACACACACACATATAATGGACTGTTATTCAGCTGTAAAGAGAATGAAATTCTTCCATTTGCATAAAAATGGATGCAGCTGGAGGACATCACATTGAATGAAATGAGCTGGACACAGAAAATTACCACATGTTCCCTCTTATATTTGGGAACTGAAATTAAAAATGAAAAAAAAATCAACAAAAAAGAAATGCGTGTGTGTGTGTCAGTATTTCTTCAAATATACTTTTGTCAAACTTTTATGTCCTTATCAAACCAGTGGTTAAGAATGATATAATACTATATACTGCCACTTATCAAACTCTGATGAATTCCAATAGCCTCATAATGAAGACTTTTGGTTCTCCATATATAGAATCATGTCATTTGCAAACAAGGATAGTCTGACTTCCTCCGTTCCAATTTGTATCCCTTTGATTTATTTTTCTTGCCTAATGGCTCTGGCTAAAACTTTCAGGAAAATATTGAAGAGCAATGGTAAGAGTGGGCTTCCTTGTCTGGTTCCTGAGCTTAGGAGGAATGCTTCCAGCTTTTCCCCATTCAGTAAGATGCTGGCCATAGGTTTGTCATAAATTGTCTTGATTGAATTGAGGAATGTTCCTTCTGTACCCAATTTGTTTAAAGTTTTCACCATGAAAGGATGCTGTATTTTATCAAATGCTTTCTCCACATCTATTGAGATGATCATATGGTTCTTGTTCTTCAGTTTGTTAATGGGATATATAACATTGATTGATTTGCAAATGTTTAACCATCCCTGCATACCAGGGATAAATCCCACTTGGTCTGGGTGATTAATGTTTCAGATGTGTTGTTAGATTCAATTAGCTAATATTTTGTTGAGGATTTTTGCATCTGTGTTCATCAGGGATATTTGCTTTCAGTTCTCCTGCTCTATTGTATCTTTTTTTCTGGTTTAGGATTTAAGGTGATTCAGGCTTCATAGAAGGAGTTTGGGAGGATTCTGTCCCTTTTAATTGTTTTGAGTAGCTTGAGAAGAATTGCAATCAGTTCTTTAAATGTCTAGTAGAATTTAGCAGTGAAGCCATCCGATCCTCAGCTTTTCCTTGTTGGAAGGGTCTTTATTACTGGTGCCTTCTCCATCTTGGTTTTTGGTCTGTTTAGGCTTCCAGTGTCTTCATGACTGAATTTTGGTAGATTGTATGTGTCCAGGAATCAATCCATTTCTTCTCATTTGGCATTTGATTTTTTGTTTATCTAGCTCCTTGAGATCAATTGATAGCTCCTTTATTTGGTATCTTTCCAATTTCTTGATGTAGGCATCAATTGCTATACTTTCCTCTTAACACTGCTTTTGCATTTCCCATGTGTTTTAATTTGTTGTATATTGTCTTTGTTTCCAAAAAATTATGATTTTTCTTTGATTTCTTCTATGACCCACTGTTCATTCAAGAGCATATTGTTCAATCTTTATGTGTTTGTATATGTTCTTGAGATTCTTGACTTGTTGATTTCCAGCTTGATTCCATTATGTTCAGATAAGATGGGTAGTGTGATTTATATTTTTTAAAACTTGCTGAGACTTGCTTTATGGCCTAGCATATGGCCTATCCTAGAGAAAGTTCTATGTACTTATGAGTGTATTCTGCAAGTGTATGCAGGCTGTGGCCAGTGAACTCAGGTCAGTGTTCCTGGGTAGGGTGAGTATCCAGGGTGACACCCAAGTTGGGCATGGTAGATCTCTTTTTTATTTTAAAGATTTGTTTATTTATTTGAAAGGCAGAGTTACAGAGAGAGGGAGGGAGGGAGGGAAGGAGAGAAGGAGAGAGAGAGAGAAAAAGAGAGAGAGAGAGACAGACAGAGAGAGACAGAGACAGAGACAGAGAGAGAGGTGTCTTCCATCTGCTGGCTCATTTCCCAAATGGCCTCAGTGGCTGGAGGTGTGCCAGTCTGAAGCCAGGTACCTCAAGCTTCGTCCAGGTCTCCCACATGGTTGCAGGGGCCATGGACTTGGGCCATCTTCTACTGTTTTCTCAGGCTATAGCAAAGTGGGATCTGAAGTGTTGCAGCCAGGACTTGAACTGGCATCCATATGGGGTGCCAGCACTGTGGACGGTGGCTTTACTCACTATGCTACAGTGCTGACCCCGATTTCCTCTTATTAACAGAAGGCAGGGTTATGGTCACCTCTGTTGTCATAATCACACATTGGTCACCTCTGTTGTCATAATCACACATGCACTTCATCTCTTCCTGGGAGATCAATGCCTAGGGTGTTAGCCCACAATAGGTGCAATACTTATCCTCGCTTCTGCATGAATTGCACAAAGGATCTGTGCAGTCCTCACAGTGTGAACATGGATCCCACTGCACTCACCCCACCCCAGGCAGTCAGGGAGCTCTGAATGTGTGAAACTGCACACAGTGATTGCCCAGCAACCCAGATGCATTCTGTGTCCTCTTATGCTGTCAGAGAGTTCCCACAATCTCAGCACTCAGGGCCCTCACAGTCACAGGGGGTACAGAGCATCTATTCCGCCTGACTAGCTTGTCCCATACACAGAGATGCTGAGACTTTCCCTGAGCCAGCTGCTTGTGGGTACTCTGCTTAGGTGGTTTGAGCCCTGAAGCCCCAGAGCCTATATGTTGAGAGGCTGAGGGCACCTCATAATCCTGTGTGGGTGCCCAGCCCCCTATGAATCCTCCCAGACTGAAAATCAGTAAGGAGTGCAGATTTTTCCCTCTGGAAATATCACTGGATCACACACATGCCCAGTACCCAGTGGCTGCAGCCTTATTCATTCACAGTCACGCTGGATACGTAAAAGTGTCTCTACAGCCCGTATCAGTGTTGGAATGGCTCCTTCTCCCTGCCCATTGCTGGGTGCCCACACTGGAGCTTCTGTGGTTACCTCTGCTGAGAAGTTGCCGACTGTCCCTGCCACCTGCTAGATGTATAAAGAAGAGTAGCAGCCACAGCTACCTACTTATTTCCAAAGTGGTGCCCACCCTCTTCCACTAGGTTGCCAGGCATTATTTTCAAGGGGATGGAGATAGAGAGACATACCCCTTTTCTTTTTCTCTGGGTAAGCAGGTGCTCTACTCCCCTCAGGGCTCTGGACCAGACAAAAGCAGTGTAGTCTGCTTGGCTCACTTGGGCCACTGCATTTTGATCTCACCTTGCTCTCAAAAGCAGGCACTTTCTCCATGTCAGGGCTGCTGGGGTCATTTGTTGGGTCCATGTTTGTTGCTGTCTGTCTGTACTTTCCACACAGATCCATGGCGTCTCTCCTTCTGCAGAATTTCCATTGCAGTTTTCCCTCCAACTCTCTTCTAAGAATGCATTCTCCACTTTTTAATAGTTTAAAAATTTCTTTCTTTCCCCTTCCCTTCCCTTCCCTTCCCTTCCCTTCCCTTCCCTTCCCTTCCCTTCCCTTTCCTTTCCTCTCTCTCTCTCTCTCTCTCTTCTCTCTTCTCTCTTCTCTCTTCTTTTTTTTTTTTTTTTTACTTTTTTCCCCTAGCCTAGAGAAGACTGCCTTTTCCCTATTTCAACATCTTGGAATCTCCCTTTGGCTATATAACTTTTATTGAATTTTCTTAAGGGGAGAGAGAGAGAGAGAGAGAGAGAGAGAGAGAGAGAGACAGGAACAGATAGAGAAAGAACTCCTATCCTTTGGTTCACTCCCCAAATGCCCACAACAGCCATGGAAGAACTAGGCCAAAACATGTTGGACTCTTTATTTCATGCAGCTTTAAGCTTTTGACTATAATTTAAATTAAAAATATATTATCTCAAAAATTAAAAAAAAGGAAAGAATGAAGGGAGGGTGGTTACTATCATATTAGAATCTTATCTATGAACTACATAGGGTCTATTCTCTGTATATTATTATCACATTAATGTAAGAATTGATGGGATTTATATTATGGTAATTATCATATATTTGCTGTGACCCTGAGAATCTAATGTTTCAATAGAGTTCTTTAATAAAAGTCCAACTAGATAAATGCCTATTTATTGGACTAGTTTCAGTTTACTTGCTTTATGTAATATGGATTATTTATGGCTACAGTAGAGGTAGCAGAAATAGTAGTAGCTTTCTCACTTCTGAATTGCAGTTTATAGTGGTGTATTCTTGAAATAAGTAGAATAATGAACATTTCTTTGTCCTTCATAAAGTAGTGAAATTTCTACCTCTTGAACATAGACATGGCTATGTGACTAGTAGTAGCCTATGAAATCTACACAAAAGTGACATGTCACTTTCAGTCTGGAGCATTTACTTGACAGTATTCAACCCTCCCTTTCTCTCAGCTTGTCCACAGCAATTGTGGAAGTGAAACAGGGACCTCCTCCCCCATTAGGGAGATAGGATTATATTGATTAGATTTGGGTGCTGGAGACCATGCCTGCCTCTTATCTCTATGTGATCTCATCTGTATCCACATACGTGTCAATCAGACTACGTGACCACTTCCCTTTTGGAAAGTGAGTAAGTGGCCTGGAGTGCCCTGGACCCACCCTTGCTTTCCTATGTTCTTCTTGTACGTGGGGTCATCTTGCTGCTTTTGGTGCCTGTCCATCTGTGCCGCCCACCAGGGCTGCATTCTTGCCTATGTTCCCTCTCTCGCGTGCAGTCTCTGGCCTATTCTCTGGTAAATGCTGGTATGGAATTCATGGTTTAATATTTGTGAGCCTCCTCTTCCTTAATAAAGCCCCTACATTCCTGTGTATTTCTCTTGCTTCCCCAAATAAAATCTGAGCTTTACAATGTTGCCTGTATCATTTATGTCTAAGTTTAGAATACTTCTCTAAGCCAGAGATAAGAACCCTAAATATTGATTTTAAAGTATATTAGATGATAACAGAAGCACATATGAAGTCCCTGGATGACTGGGATGAGCACAACTTGCAGTCGATTTATATTAGGAATAAGAAATGGACCTTTTTAAGTCACTATGTTCTGCTGCTCTAGTTCCAGCATTTCTGTTTTCTATGCTCACCTTTGAATGACACAATATTGGGTGTCAGAAGTAATAGCAGGAAACAGCCTCACAAACAGGTATCTTAACTGCTGTTCCAGCCTGAATTTTACAGCAGTAATGACTCCGACTTTGGAGCCATGGAAAATAGATTACCCTGGTGATGTCATGCAGTATTAATTATTTACTTGTATTATTATTTGTGGTCCCTTAGAATTTGGCAAGCCTAGAGGCTATGACATTTTAATGAAAACAAAGGGGACCAGCACTGTGGGGCAGTAGGTTAAAGCCCCAGCCTGTAGTGCTGGAATCCCATGTTTGTGCCAATTTGAGACCTGGCTACTCCATTTCTGAGGCAGCTCCCTGCTGCTGCACCTGGGAAGGCAGTGAAGGATGGCACAAGTGCTTGGGCCCCTGCACTCATGTGGGAGACTTGGAAGAAGCTCCTGCCTCTTGGCTCCGGATCAGCTCAGATCCATTTGTTGTGGCCATTTGGGGAGTGAACCAACAGATGGAATACCACTTTTCCTCAGTCTCTGCCTCCCCCTGTACCTCTTTCAAATAAATAAATCTTTAAAAAAACCAACACTATAGTGTAGAATGTGTTGAATATTTTTGATAGCAGCTATCATAGTTTGTGGGTTTAAAATTATTGGTTGACTCAGTAACCTGAGACATTGGTGGGGAAAGGCAGAAAGAGCCTAGAGGGAATGAGGCCTGAAGCCCCACTGGGGAAAGTTCACCAGGCTGACTGGAGGAGAGAAAAAAAAAATGAATAAATAAGGGGAACCGGCACGGACACTAGCCTCTCTCTCCACTCACCTTACAAAGCCAAACAAGACAAAGAGCAGGCACCATTTTACTTATGTAAAGCGGCGCCCACCATTAGCCAAGGGGAAAAACCTGACTCTGGTGGACAGAAATAACAGGAGGTTAGGACCTAGTGAAAGTATGGAGCTAACAGAGCCGGCGCCGTGGCTCAATAGGCTAATCCTCCACCTTGCGGCGCCGGCACACCGGGTTCTAGTCCCGGTTGGGGCACCGGATTCTGTCCCGGTTGCCCCTCTTCCAGGCCAGCTCTCTGCTATGGCCAGGGAGTGCAGTGGAGGATGGCCCAGGTGCTTGGGCCCTGCACCCCATGGGAGACCAGGAAAAAGCACCTGGCTCCTGGCTCCTGCCAGGATCAGCGCGGTGCGCCGGCTGCAGCGGCGGCCATTGGAGGGTGAACCAACGGCAAAGGAAGACCTTTCTCTCTCTGTCTCTCTCTCTCACTATCCACTCTGCCTGTCTAGTTGAAACAGCACAAAAAAAAAAAAAAAGGAAAGTATGGAGCTAACAAACTGAGACTGTGAAAATCTGAGGGGGAGGGGTGAGAGAACTCACGGAGTACACAAACTTGGTAACCTTGGGAACCCAGTGAGAGACTGTGGAGAAATTTGAGACCAAACTGAGGGTTGCATAAACTCTTTGTGTGGTCCCATGGGTAGAGCAGACAAATACCCACAGGAGCCAGATTTCATACATCAACTACCCTCAATTCTACTCAGCTGTGCAGAATTACTTCCAAACTGAGTCAAAAAAAAAAAAAAAAAGAGAGAGAGAGAGAAAGTGAGGCAATAATCCGGGTGAGTCACCTTTGGCACACCCTTAACCCTGAAGAACCAAACAGAGCTCTCTGGCCACACACATCACAGACTCTAAGGATCCATCAAAAGCAGACAGTCCACTTAATCTAGAGTCACAGTATAACGAGAAAAAGCACCACAGCAAAGAAACCAAAGAATATTTCCACAATGCCAAACAAACGCAGAAACCGAGGTTAACAAGAAGAAGGAAGACCCTATGATGCCCCCAAATGAAAAAGACATCCCAATTCAAGATTATGAAGATGATGAGATAGAAGAAATGCAAGAAGCAGATCTCAAAAAATTGATAAGAACATTAAGAAGTTCTCAAAAACAAATTATCGAACTACAGAAATCCTTAATGGACAAGACAGAAAATCTCTCTCGCGAAAATGAAATATTAAGGAGGAATCAAAATGAAATGAAACAACTAGTAGAACAGGAAACTGTGATAGTGATGAGAAATCATAATTAAATGAAGAATTCAGTAGATCAAATCACAAACACATTAGAGAGCCTTACAAACAGAATGGGTGAAGCAGAAGAGAGAATATCGGACTTAGAAGACAGAGAACAGGAAAGGATACAGTCAAACCAAAGAAAAGAAGAGGAAATTAGAAATCTAAAACATATTGTCGGGAATCTTCAGGATACTATTAAAAAAACCAACATTCGGGTTCTAGGAGTCCCTGAAGGCATGGAAAGGGAGAAAGGATTAGAAGGCCCTTTTAGTGAGATACTAGCAGAAAATTTCCCAGGTTTGGAGAAGAACAGAGACATCCTACTATAGGAAGCTCATAGAACCCCTAATGAACATGACAAAAAGAGATCCTCACCACAACACGTTGTAATTAAACTCACCACAGTGAAACATAAAGAAAAGATCCTCAAATGTGCAACAGAGAAACGTCAGATTACTCTCAGAGGATCTCCAATCAGACTCACAGCTGACTTCTCATCAGAAACCCTACAAGCTTGGAAGGAATGGCTAGATATAGCCCAGTTGCTAAGAGAGAAAAACTGCCTGCCCAGAATATTATATCCTGCAAAGCTCTCATTTGTGGATGAAGGTGAAATAAAGACCTTTCATAGCAAACAGAAATTGAAAGAATTTGTTGCCACTAGTCTGGCCCTGCAAAAGATGCTTAAAGATGTGTTACACACAGAAAGAGAAACACGGTCATCAATATGAAAGAAGGTAAAGGAAGGAAACCTCACAGCAAAAGATCACAGGAGTTTCAAAACATATATTAGACAAAACTTCAGGAAAATGGCAGGGCAAAGTTACTACTTATCAATAGTCACATTGATAGTTAATTGCCTGAACTGTCCAGTTAAAGGACACAGATTGGCTGATTGGGTAAAGGAACAAAACCCATCTATTTACTGCTTACAAGAAACACATCTTTCCAACAAAGATGTATACAGACTGAAAGTGAAAGGTTGGAAAAAGATATACCATGCCAACAGAAATGAAAAAAAAGCGGGTGTAGCCATCTTAATATCAGACACCATAAACTTTACCACAAAAACCGTTAAGAAAGACAAAGAGGGACACTGTATAATGATTAAGGGATAAATTCAACAGGAAGATATAACAATTATCAATGTATATGCACCTAACTACAGGGCACCGGTTTATCTAAAAGATTTGTTAAGGGACTTAAAGGGAG